TATATATATAATGAAAATTGTTTCTTATATCAATGGTAAACTTTCAATTTATGATTAAATGCAACAAAATAAATTTAAAAGGTGAAAGATCATAATTGTCATACCCCTGAGTTGTTGGCTTTAAGAGCAGTTCAGTTGTAAAGCACAGTATTAATGTCTGAAAATAAGCTGCTTTGAAGTCAGCATCAACCATAAACTGAATCTGCCATAATGCACACTAGCTACTCACTAGAAACTCATCAGTGAGTAAAGCTTTATTAGTTTTGCTTTTAATAAAATTTCTGTATTTATTTCAGATTTAGTCAGTCATACACTTAGTTATTATCAGTGTTTAAAAGAGGCCGTGTTAAAACACTGTTTAGTCAAAGTTAAACATGAAACATCAAAGGTAACTACAACTGGCCCTTCGAGGGCCACCATAAACCTCATGTGGCCCTCGGTGAAAATGAGTTTGACACCCCTGGACAGTTTTTAAAATACGTCTTCAAGTACACATTGCCTAAGACTTCTTTTCTGCTTTTTTCACAGATTATGAATCATTTCTTGACACCATTTAAAGTTTTGGTGGGATCAACATGTCTGGGTGTAGCTGAACCCAATGAGGAGTTTTGTGTGCCTCTGGACTCGTACAGGTGAGTGAAAACATGCAAACAAGCTAGCAGTTAGACAAAAAAGTACTCTTTTTTGTATTATTGATACATTTCATCCTCAATCAATCTTGTAAATCCTCATTTTTTTCTCCTGCTCTTTCCTGTTCTCCTCAGGTCTGAACTGAGCCTTCAGCCATTAACGGACGACGGCGCTGATGACCAGCAGTTTGAGATGTCAGAGGGCTTCAGTTACGAGTATGTCTGCATCCAGCAGCCTGATGTCGGCAACCATCACACACACCTGCAGCAGACATGTCGTCGCCGTGGGGATCAGAGCGGTGGGATGACGATCAATATCGTGCCGTTAAAGGAAACAGTGACGTTCAAACACCCCGAAGGTGTTGTGAGTTCCTTTGACGTTCCCTTTGTGTTTCACCTCTGGCCTCCTGTGCTGTTACGCAACCTGCTGCCCCACCCCATCGCCTTCAAACTAAAGGTGAGATATGCATGGGGTTAGGGGGTAGTGATTGTTTTCATACTGCGGTATAACCTTTAGAAAATATCGCAGTATACGGTGTTACTGGGTGGGTGCAGTTATTGTCTGAGGTGTGTTCAGTAATTAATAATGAACAGAGAAATCGTGGCCTTAATCATGGCCCCACTAGCCATGATTGAGGGCCCCTAACATCCCCCTCCCCCTCTGTTGAAGGATTCATAAACTACCTGCATTGAAAAGGATTCTTTATTATTCTTATAGTTGTGTTGTTATGATTATCATTGCTTCTGATCAACAATTAGAAAAAAGCACTTCACTGAATGACTAACAGGTGCTATATATAGGTTCACTGTGCTAATGCTAGGAAAATGCTAAATGTGCAGTTAAACTTATCACTTCCTAATCACTGTGATATAACCTTCTCTGTTGACAATAACATAAAAGCTGATTTTTGTTTTCAGTTGAAACTGTTTAAAGTTATCAAAGAAGTTTAATGATAGGTTTTACAGAAAAAAAACACTTTATATATTTTATAAAACTTCAAATCTTTTGATTTATTGATCATCAAATACTTACGCGGATGGACTTTGAGATGCCAACAAGTCACAGGTGTAGGGCTTCTCACCAGTGTGGACACTTTGATGAGTCTTCAGGTGTTCCTTATGTTTGACTCTCTTCTCACAGTGGTCACAGGTGTAGGGCCTCTCACCAGAGTTGTTGAGTTGATGTTGGTTGAAACTCTAACTCACTGGAGCTCTCCTCACTCTGGCCACTGCAGTGTGGTCCTTCTGGAGCTTTGAATGGCTGGATCAGCCGCTCCTCAACAAAACCACCTCCATCTTTGTCTTCAGGYCCATCTGGGCTTTTGCAGGTCTCTTTCTGAMACACAAGAATAGAGGAAAATGTTGCAGTAGTAGTTTGGGATTTGATTTCATAAAGTCAGAAATAAAGTGAAACATTTAGRTTTTATGGTGAATACTTTGWATGGATAGCTGATTTCAGGAGTGATTGAACATTTTTTTGTTGTTCAAAAGGAAAACAAAACTTCTCCAAGCAACAGAATTCTGTGCTGTGTGTGTATTTTCTACACATTCCACACATGCGTGTGGAATGTGTAGTTAGATTGGTTAGATTGAACAGTGACTTACCTCTGCCACTCCTGGCATGGTGCTACTGCTGTCACTGTCCTTTATTTGAAACTCCTCCATGTTTGAATCTGCTTTAAGAAAGGAAACTGTGTCAAGAACAAACTCAAAAACCTACAGAGCAATGAAATGAAACTTAACAYCCTTACAGCAGAAAGTACAAAAACAACACTGGCACAGTATAACTTTTTACAATATACTTGACAATGAAAATCCGTTTGTGCACAGCAGAAAACCTATTTTTAGTTAAATACTTTTAATAATACACAAAACCAAATAAAAGTAGAACAATAAAGGGAAAAAAAATTCTTACCAGGTGCTTTGGCGTCTGCAGAGGTCTGTGGTCGTCCTTTTAATGGATCAGAGTTGCAGCAATTTAACATAAAACACATGATTTTTATGGTAACCGCATTTCTGCTCAAAATGTTCTGTTTCTGTAGAAGTTTCAAATACAAACAAGAAGTTTAAACTCCTTAAAAACAATGAATGCAAAGCATGTCACGATAAACACGAGCRTTTAAATCATAACAAACACAGTTGTAAACCTCCTGATAGTCCACAGATTTACGGTGAGGTGCGAAAGTTTGGGCAGCCTTGTTAATTTTCTGATTTACCTTTTATAAATCATTGATTGTTTGGATAAAATATATCAGTAAAATATATCATATAGGGGACAAACGGTGATATTTGAGAAATGAAATGAAGTTTTAATGATTTACAGAAAGTGTGCAATAACTGGTTAAATAAAATTAGGCAGGTGCATAAATTTGGGCACTGTTTTCATGTTATTGATTTCAAAACCTTTATTGGAACTCTARTTTGGTTTGGTAACTTCAGTGACCCTTGACCTCAATATGCAGGTGACTCCAATTATGAGAAAGCATATTTAAGGGYGGCAATTGTAAGTTTTTCTCCTCTTTGCGTCTTCAATGAAGAGTCGCAGCATGGGAGTCTCAAAACAACTTTCAAATGAGCTGAAAACTAATTCGTTCACCGTCATGGTTTACATGCATATAGCCTGAGAGAGGTAGAGAGGTGTGGGGTAAAAAAAACTCTGCTGTTGTGATGTGTTGCTGTCACTCAGAGCAGCAGGAGAGGAGTCACGCAATGGCTTTTGCCTTTTATTATGCTGAACAGTTAAAAAAAAAGTCCAGCTGTCTTTTTAATGGTTTGAAGTTTCAGAAATAATCTGACTCTTACCATGGTTATGTCTGTGCTGGTGCATACTTTCGGACAGTTTTCCTGCTGATATAATTTATAGTTATTTCCTCCTTTGCAGCAAGAGTTCACTTGTCTCTGAAAAAAATTATAAAATCACTGAAAGTTTAAATCCAAAAGGAGCTCAGCTATTTGTTTGAGTTTCTGTCACTACCTCACTTGGGTTTTCATTCATTCATTCATTCATTCATTCATTCATTCATTCATTCATTCATTCATTCATTCATTCATTCATTCATTCATTCATTCAAACCTTGCTTGGAGGCTAAGATGCGTGACAAATGGGGGTCTCTGTCTCCCTTCTCTTGTCTTCTGATTGGGCCAAGGTGGTCAGAACACGTGTCAGTAATGATAGAGGTCGTCTTCTGAAGAAGCCTAAATGTTCCAGTTTTCGTAGCAGTCCACTAGTGCCACTTAGTGTAGTGTTGGAACGGTCGATGTAGGTACGGGTCGGACCGGTTGGTTTTCCACTGATGTTCCAGTCTGGTTCCAGTGGGTGTGTTTTGGGCAGTGTTTGGAGGTGGTTTTTAGGTATTTTGAAAATAAATTAATGGGAAAAATGAGAGATGGAAACACATTTCATGAATAACTTTCGAAATTTTCAACATTTGCAAAAATTTAGCCAATCAGTGACGAACAGTGTTCTGACGTCGCATTTTGGTGTCAGCTGGGGCTGTTGGAACCACAATGAAGTAGGTACTAAAAAAGTCCCGGTTCCATGGATCTGGCCTAATGGAAATGGCTTGGAACTGTACCGAACCGTACCGACACTACACTAAGTGGCACTAGTGGAAAAGGGGCATTAGTCTACCAAAATACCATCCTACCACCCAAGCCTAGTAATCATCATTCAGGTGGTCTTTGACTCATTGACAAAATAACATACAAGTTTTCCTGTAACAGCCATACTCTGTACATAAGACATGAACAAGCACTACAGCTCTCTGGCTTTTGGTTAACAGGAGAATGGAGTTTCTGCCCCTGAAGTTACTCTGAATCCAGGCCACTCTGCTCAGCTTCACACAGCTGTCATCAATCAGTCCAAACTCGATCTTCGCCTGGTGGATTATTTGGCTCAGGACTGGTCTTCTGAATACAGGTAAAACTTGCATTTTACTGTTTTAAATTCCCTTTTTGTTGTTCTGTGTGATTAAAAATAGTTCATTTACATTTCAGAATTAAAGTGAATAAATAATCTTGTCTTCCAGTCTCCAGAAAGACCAGGATGAAATCGCCTTCATTGTGTTCAAGTCTCTACGTGTGGATGATGAAGATGATGGCGAAGGGACAGAGAGGAATAGGGCCGAGTTGGACATAGCAGTGCATGTTAAATACGACCCAGGGCAGACTGTTATTGCCATCCACTCTCCGTACTGGATGGTGAATAAAACGGGCAGGTTGCTGCAGTACAAGGCRGATGATATCCACCGTAAACACCCCTTAGATTACGACATGCCCCTGCTGTTCTCCTTCAAGCCTCGCAACTTCCTGCGAAACAATAAGGTATAAGGAAAAAGGAAATTCAGCACATTTATTACAAGTTTATTTGTTGTCTTTCACAATTTGTCTTTCTTTTGTCAAACTGTTTTGATTTGCTGATTATGTTTAATAAACAGAGGTGCAGTGAAACAACGTAATTTGATTTGTAATTCTTGTCTACCTGCAGGTTCGACTGATGATCTCAGACAGTGACCTGTCAGATGATTTCTCTCTGGACACAGTCGGCAGCCATGGAGATGTGAAATGTAAAGGCAGATACAAAGATTATCTGGTAAGACTTTAGAACACTTTCTGTCCTCCAAACAAGTATTTATATGAAGAATCAACCATTTTACACAAGAACTTAAAAGGACTTCTGTAATCACACAAGGCAGGTTGTGCTTTTAAGGAAGCACTTGTGTTTTTATTGTCTGTTGTGTTTTTGTGATTTCTGCTCCCAGGTTGGCGTGAAGATYGAGGCGAGCAGTTTCAGTCTCACGCGCATCGTGACCTTCGTACCGTTTTACACGCTGGTCAACAGAACCAAGCACAAAGTTTTCATATGTGAAGAAGGACAGGAGAGCTGGACTGAGGCAGAGCCAGAACAGGTCCGAAATGAACCGAGTACTCTGCACGTACAGTTTTTGCACTTGAATGTTATATTGTTTTCAATTTTCTCGTATTTTCTGTAATAGTTTAGTTTCATGTTGAAAATTTAAACAATGCAGATTTTGGTTCGGTTTGTATAATTTACAGATAATACCTTTCACATCAATCAACATAAAAAAATCAGCATTTGTTTAGATTTTTTTTTCACGATTACTTGCCAGTTGTGTTTACTCCCATGTTTATGTGTTTGTTAAACTGATTTTTAGTCCGCTGTTCCATTCTGGCCTGAGAACGACACCAAGCGGCTAAAAATCAAAGTTGAAGGATGTTTAGCGCCTCCCCAGACTATTGACTTCACTCGACCTGAGAACTGCCTGCTGCTTCATCTGGACAAATCTGTGTGTAGACACACACGTAACAATTTAATCAGAGAATTCAAGGTTGCCTCTCTGTTTAAAATAGTTTGTTTCTTTCTCTGTGATAGGTGGGTGGCATTATTGTAGATGTGAATCTGTCGGAGCACTCAGCCACAATCCGATTCTCTGAGTACCATGATGGTGCAGCCCCCTTCCTCATCATCAATCACACCAGAGACCACCCTCTTCAGTTCAATCAGAGGTGAGAAAACAGACTGGATGGTTAGAATGAGAGAAAATATTTTAAGCCATGATCTTACATCAGCGCAGACATTCTAATGTCATTCATAATCACCGCACTCTTTGTTTTAATTTCATGACTAAACTGGTTTCAACAGTTTTCACTTTTGGATCTGCTCACTGCAGTTTGTTAACTCTGAAACTGGATTACAATACCTACACCAGATTATTGGTTTTCCACTGAAGCTGCTTTTTGACATTCAAAACCGGAACGTTTTGCATTTTGTCCAGAATTATCATTTTTAATTTATTTATAAAGTTCATTCATTTCTTTAAAAAAACAATTTAAATTCTATACACAATAAAAAATCACAAATAAAATTAAAGGCAGCAGAAAGAAGAAAAAAATCTTATATCAGTTGGTGTTGAAAATATTGGTGTTGGAATTGGTTTGACATGTATTTCACAGTGAGTGGTTATTGTTCTGCTGCAGAAAGAACAAAGAGTTGTTTTAAGCCTTCAGTGTTCAACCAGTCAGTTTGTGTTAACTTTCATTCAGCCCTTCAAAAACTTTCTGCAGTGCTCATTATTGGATACACACCAAGGAGACTGAACTTCAGAGATTCTGGCTGACAGACGATGACTCCTCTACCTTAAGCATAGTTTTCTGTTTTTAATGTATTTGTCTTGTGTTATGTCATTGAAGTCTTTTCACCAGAAACTAGGACCTTKACGTTCTTGTTGTGACGTACGCGTTTTCTTTTTCTTTTTTCTTTTTTTTTGTTTTGCAAAACTGTTTTGTTTTTTTGCAGCATCCCTAAACAGTTTGTTAAATAACAACTAACAGTGTTTTTTTTTTCCCGATGGTGATTTGTGTTTGTGTGTTGTGTGGGTCATGTAGTGCTCGAAAGGAAGTCACGTGGGTGGCTGAAGAGCTGCTCGACTTTTCCTTCTCGTCGGAGGAGGACAGGTAGAAAAGTCTGAAAAGCAGGAACTCTTMTGCCACACTCTGAACTCAGGATCAAACCGAAAAAACAAATGAGAGCAGAAAAATGTAGCGAACCAGTTAAAATAATCCTCCTTCAAAGTTATTAATTATTTCAGATAGCACCCGATGTACAAGAAAACATTAAATTCAGGTAAATAAAATGTAGAACATCCATGCATGAAAAGTACTCAAAAGTAAACATAAGTACACAGCAGACATATTGTATGGAATCTGTTCTATAGACTTTTTTTAAAGGACTGAAGCAGTTTAAGAAGCTTTCATGTGAAGCTGAGGACATAATGTGGGACAATAATATTTTGCATACTAAACAGATCCAAGGAAAATCCAATTACTAACATTATTAAGTCACTGTTGCTTTGATGGGACAACACTTTTGAGTGCAGAGTGTGGTCAGTTTCTTGTACAGTCATAGCCAAAATTTTTGAGAATGACTTAAAATTTATTTATCACAAAGTTTGTTGAATATTTCTTTATGATGGGAAAACTTTGTGATAAATAATGTCTGTCATTCTCAATATTTTGGCCACGACTGTAGAAGAGCTCTGACTGATTTTGTTTGTGTAATCTGTTCTCTTGTCTAAGATGATRGAGAGTTTTTGTTCTGCCTTTTTCTTCACCAGCACTGTATGTTGCAAAACCAGCACTGTATGTTGCAAAACCAGCAGTGTATGTTGCAAAGGCTTTCTTTTTATATTTTTAAATATTTGAAAAGAATCAAGTTCTACATTTACAGCTATTAAAGTTTGGTTCCTGTAATCACTTTCCTTTGCTTGTAGAAAAAACTTGCTGCCGACTTGATGGGGTTCTGCCAAAGATAAATCTTTTTTCTTCCCAACGTTGGTGTTGCATTGAGAAATGTTTGTAACACTAAACATTTGTAGACTTGCTGCCCTACTTTGTTATCCCCTGTCTGCTTTGTTTTCATCTGAATTGTGATTAGTCCTAGTGGGAGCTAGGACTAATCTTACCTTTCCAGGAAAGCCATTGGGAACGTCTGGTAGATTGCTGGTGTTTGGTTATGTTCTGTCACTTTTCTCTTTCGCTGCTCATTTATTCAAAGAAATTGGCTTTTTTTTTTACATGACGTTGTGTTTTTGGTGAATGGGTTCTGAAATGTTGTCTTCTGCTTTACTGTGTTTTTTTACTATTTCTTCCTCTTCATCTAGTTATTTTCAACCATGTTTTAGTTCTAACTAATGGTGCAGAAATATACTGTTTGTTTGACACCATCCAGCTCTGAGGTGGAGGCAGAGATCGAGGAGCTGGAGGCTGGAAAAGCTGTGTACTACACCTGGACTAAACCCAGTGGATCCCGAGAGCTTAGTTGGAAGTGTGGCAAATACAGTGGGAAGCTGAAGAGTGAGGAGGTACTKTACCTGAGTTAAAATGATTAAAAATCTATAATTTACTCCTAAATTATAACATTAAAGATCAGGTTATTTTCTTTTTACATACTTTTTTTCAGGACAGTAGAGTAGTTACGAAACAAAATGGGTATTCTGTAGCTTAAGCTTGTTTTTTTATAACTATTTTCTTTGGCATCTTTAGGATCTGCGGGAAGACATGAACAAAGAGGGAAAACTTTTTGTGATTTCGTTTTTTGAAGGTAAAGTTGAAGAATCCTGAATCTCTTTGATTCTTTCATTTTATAAAAATTGCAGTTTTTAGCTTGTGAGAGCATGTGTGAGTGTTCTAATGCTACGTACAATTTATACAACTTGTTTGTATTGGGATGTCATATTAAGAAGCTGGCACTATTCTAACTTGTGTTTGTCATAATCAGTTTTCTGGAGACACACACACGTTTGTTTCTCGACCCTGTGGGGACCTTCCATTGACTTCCATTCATGTTTTTTAGACTTTATATCCTAACCCTGACCATATACTCTAAAATTAACCACAGAAACTTACCTGACCCTAAAACTAACCTAAACCTTGGTCCTAAACCTAACCCCACACCTATAACATGCATTTGGACCCATGGGGACCTGACAGTGGTCCCCACGATTCACTTCGGTCCCCACCTGGCTGCTTTTTTTTTTGTAAAAAATACCCCATGTTGTAAGAAAAACCCGTATACACACACACACACACACTGTGTTCTACTTTTTTTAAACAGAGTTTTTGTTGTTGCTTCTGTTAATTCAAAGGTCTCCAGCGAGTTGTGCTGTTCACCGAGGATCAACAGATCTACAAAGTGCTGTGTGAGAATGAAAAGGTGCAGCGGGCTGAACAGGAAATCATCCTGTCCCTGCAGAACGTGGGCGTGTCTCTGGTCAACAACACCAACAGCCAAGAGGTTTCCTATATTGGAATCACAAGGTGCTTTTTTGTTTCGTGCTCACAGTAAATTACACATCACATATGCAACTATAACTTTAAGAGCAAACTTAAAACTTTCCTTTTTTATAAAGCTTTTTAACAATCCCAGTGTGTTGTCTGTTTCTTAGCTATTGTTTTATGATGTTGTTGATGTTTTTATTGCTTTATTTTTCTGTATAATTTTTGCACCTTTGTAAAGCACTTTGTGACCCTCAATGTCTGTGAAAGGTGCCATATAAATAAACTTTTACTTTACTTATTTTATAAAAAGCACAAGTCTTATTTGATTAGAACTTGCTGCTTATTGTTCAGCTGAATGTTTTGTTTTGTTTTGTTAATTCAGCTCCGAGGTGGTTTGGGAGTCCAAGCCTAAGAAGAAGAATCGATGGAAAACTCTGAGCTCTAAAGAAACTGACATGTTTGAGGACAAGTTCAAAGAGTACATTGAGTCTGGGCCGACTGATAATTCAACTGTTCAACTGGAGAACGACTTTCAGGTTGCAGCAGTTTTATACCTTATTTATTCAAAAATAACATCATTTTGTCACGCTTAATGTTGGTAATAATAGTAATTTTTGTCAGTCTGTAGTGAGATGCTAATTTCTCTCACGTCTAAATGTTAAACTTCATTGTGTTTTTTTTTCATCTCCCAGGTGTTATTCACACCTAGTGGTACAAATATGCAAATGCTTCAGCCGGTGGAGGTTCCTCTTAGGAGGCACTTTATGCCTGGAGTGAGGGTGGAATACAGCGTCTCACCAAGACAGAAAACCTATCGTGTCCAAATCCACCGCATACAGGTTTAAAGAAATTCTATTAATCATTTGCATCCTATTTAACTTGAAAGCAGCCAACCTCCTGTTATGAACAGCCTCTGTTTTCTCTATTGAGCTTTATTTTGCTGTAAAAGGCTGCAAATTTTCTGTGTTTTTATTTTCATGTTTTTGGATCTGTTTTTTTTTTAATCCAAATACCAGTTTTAAAAATGCATAATTTTTCCCTGCAGATCCAGAATCAGCTGCCAGGAGCCATCTTCCCTTATGTTTTTTACCCTGTAAAGCTGCCAAAGTCGATCACGATGGATTCAGGCATGTTTACCCTTCCATCTGTGCTGTTTTTTTTTTTTTCATTTTGTCCCAACATTTTCATGTTAAATAATGTTATTTCCATTGTTGTTGCAGAACCTAAACCTCTTACAGATATCAGCATTGTTACCAGAGCTGCGGGACACTCCGACATCTCTCGCATCAAGTAAATATTTCCTATTTTAATCCACAAACTCTGTTTTATAGGATTGTCATTGTTTTATTTTTGTTTAAGACAAGATTAAAATTTGGTTTTGAATAGAAATTCACCAGTTTTCACATTCCGTCAAAAACATCTGCAACATTTTCTCAGTTTAACGTCCCAAGTACGATAAAATATCTACTCCCCTCCAGGTACTTCAAAGTGTTGATTCAAGAGATGAATCTAAAGCTTGATCTGGGTTTCCTTTATGCCATCCTGGACTTTTTTACTCCTGAGAATGCCGGCATCATGACCTCAGAACAGGAGGTCAGCTACACAAGCATGCACATAACAACCATATTTTTTTTACTTTGATCAGAAGTTGTAATAAAAGGATTTGTGTGTATAAGCTCAACTCTTTTTGTTCTTCATGATTTGTGGTTGTTGTTCATCAGGTGGAGCAGTTTCAGAAGGACGTAGAGTACATAAAGACACAACTAAATCATGTCTCTACTGCTGATACATCTCCCATTAGTCTCTATGAGTACTTTCACATTTCCCCTATCAAGGTGTGTAACATGCAGTTATAAAAACTATAAATGTTTTTTAAAACAGATGTCCTAAGGTGTTAACAATTTCTAATTATTCTATGAGTTGCAAACACAAGTAATGGCCCATATTATGTACATTTAGTGACCCAAACAAATTTCTTGTTTGTTTTGTTTGTTTCAGCTGCATTTGAGTTTCTCTCTGAGCACTGGAGGAGAAGACGGCTTGAAAGAGAAGCGAGAGACGGAACTCATCCCCGTCCAGTCCCTCAACCTGCTGCTGAAAAGCATCGGAGCAACTCTCACCGACGTGCAGGACGTGGTCTTCAAGTAAGAACACACAACAAGGCCCACATACACACCCAGATTACACAACTTTTTTTTTTATCTGGTAGAAGCTGGACATGGGGAGATATTTTTTTTCTTTTGCGTTACCTCGCAAAATTGTTTTGCGTTCCCACGCAAAAGATTGTTTTGTATATGAACTGAATTAAATCAGACTTTTATTTTGAAATATCCGGTTACCAAAACAGGATGTGTCGACACAAGTTTGTGAAATTGACATTGATGTTGCGTGGCTGCAATGTGTTAAAATATCGGCATATGACATTCGTCCATGYGCGGCTGTGTGATATATTCATTCTGAAGCTGAATGAAAGCAGTAGGCTAACTCGCTAATGGTGAACATGTGAGTTTGTTAATAAACCGGCAGGCACAACAGTGATAAACTACTTTTGCGAGGGAACGCAAAAGGTATTGCGAGGTAACGCAATACTGTTGGCAATGCAAAAGTATTGCAAGGTAACGCAAAAGAAAAAAAAATCTCCCATGTCCCCTCGTGGGCTCTGTAGTTGGATGCCTCCTGACTGAATCTGTTCATTTCAGACTGGCCTTCTTTGAGTTGACCTTCCAGTTTTGTACGACCCAGCAGCTGCAGTGGGAGGTCATCAGACATTATTCTAAGCAGGTGATGCAGACTCATCGGTTATATTRATCCTTGTTTTATAATCTGCAGGTTCAAGCTGTGCTTTTAAAAAATAGAAGCATTTATCTTTTTCCAAAGCAGTTTTTTTCTAAAGCTTGCCTTTACGATTACGTAACAACAAATCTATGTTTTCTCTTTCCTTGTACCCATTAAGTACAGAAACCCAAAGAAAACTGTCAGTGGCACTTAAATTTCTCTTATGTATATTTCAGGCCATTAAGCAGATGTATGTGCTGGTGCTGGGACTGGATGTGCTGGGAAACCCCTTTGGACTGATAAGAGGATTGTCAGAGGGTGTAGAGGCCTTTTTTTATGAACCCTATCAGGTAAAAATGCAACTAGTCTCTGAAGACATTTCAATTTCTCACATGTCAAGACAATGTCTTGTTTTTGAACTTGCTTAATTAAGCTTATCATTAGTAAATATGTGCTTGTGTCTGTTAAACTGGTGCCCGTCTGTTTTCAGGGAGCCATCCAGGGTCCTGAGGAGTTTGTAGAAGGAATGGCCTTGGGTGTAAAAGCTCTGGTTGGAGGAGCTGTAGGTAAGCAGAAGATGGTCTTCATCTCACCAGGGAATAAGAWGGTCTTAATTCTTGAAGGAGGCCTTAGGCGACAGATCTTTGTTTTGTGGACAGGGTGTTTCCACAATTAAAGAATCTAATGTGCTGTCATCTGTCGACTCATGACGCTGATTTTATTTACTAATAAAAGTGCTTGATATTTGATCAGGTCATGTGGCTGCAGTATATTTAGACATGTAGATTTGCTGCAAATGTGCAAATTTCCCCACTGTGGGATCAATAAAGTTTTATCTTATCCTTATCTTGCTAAATGTGTGATTGGTACGCATGTTACGTTTATATACAGTATCTCAAATAAATGAATTTTTAGACATATCTGATAATTGATTTCGCTGGCACATCTGAGCTTTAAGCAACAAATCCCATCAGTCTTAGCTTAGAGAAAAAATAGCATCAGTTAATTATTTGTCCTGGTCCTAGTGTTAGTGGAAACTGTAGTAATGGCAAAAGCATTATTACATCTGTAGTTGTTAAATGTAAATGTAAAAAAAAAAAGTAACTTTCATGATTGTTTTGTGCAGGAGGGTTAGCAGGCGCAGCCTCCAGAATAACGGGCGCCATGGCGAAAGGCGTCGCTGCAATAACCATGGATGAAGAATATCAGCAGAAGCGACGAGAAGCCATGAACAAACAGCCCAGTGGGCTGAGGGATGGGCTGACCAGGGGTGGGAAAGGACTGGTTTCTGTACGTAAAAACGTTATTGTTTGAACTAGGGTTGGGCATAATCGTATCGTGTGCAATTAATCATCAGAAAAACATTAATACGATTAATGCCACCTGGCAGACTAACCGCTTGGTGTTCCTCTCTGATTCAAATTTGACCAACAGTAAAAAAAATTGTGTAATTTATTTATCTATCAACAAAATTTAAAGTTTGATGTATAGCCTGAAGTTTGTAATTTTGACACAATTTGGAACAGATTTTTACGAAGAGCCAATTTTCTCCCTATAAATTGGTCATGTGACTAGAATATAAGGGTGTCCAGGGACTCTGGGGGATTAATCGTCAAATTAATCGTTAKCGGCTAAATACTACAGTTAATCGTGATTAATTTTTTTGCCAATATTGCCCAACCCTAGTTTGCACTCTTTTACAAACAACAGCTAAAACTAATGCACTGTTCTGACATAAACAGCTTGTTTGGTAACGTTTTGATGTTTGGGTGTTRTAGGGGTTTGTGAGTGGAATCACAGGGATTGTTACCAAACCTATTAAAGGTGCGTTGACACGGACCACACCATAAATAAAACTCTCTTTATGTTGGCTGTAGTTTTTGTTGTTCTGTTTTTTTTTTTTGTCTGTAACTGGTACGTGTTGTTGTGCAGGAGCTCAGAAAGAGGGTGCAGCAGGTTTCTTTAAAGGTGTTGGCAAAGGWTTGGTTGGTGCAGTGGCTCGACCGACGGGAGGGATTATCGACATGGTCAACAATACCTTCCAGGGCATCAAGAGGTTCGATCGTTTCTGTCTGTCTGCACCACAACTCCAGTGTTCTTTAAGGATTTAGCGTTTTTTTAAACATATCTTTGTTGCTGATTCTTGATTTTAGGGTAGCAGAGACCTCGCAGGACGTCATATCTCTACGTCCCCCTCGCTTCATACATGACGACGGCGTCATACGACCGTATAAAGAGAGGGAGGGCATCGGCAGCCAGATGCTGCAGGTAGGAAACATTTCAAACATTAAAATTTACTCTTGTTTTATTTTCCATGGCCTTCACATGGTGTCTGTTAGGGGAAAGTCAGCTTAGCAAATCATTTGCCACACTATTTTTTCTGTTTGTTTTCTTTTAATAGCAACACCATTACATTAGGTCATCAGCCCTGCGGTTTTACTCAGCTATCATTTTTGTTTTGTGTCCTGTGATGTGAGAAATTAAACTGAAAACTACACAAGTTTTAGCAAAATAAATAGTTGTGAGTAAATGTTAGACTGCGCCTGGGTACAACAAACCCAGTTTGACTCATGATATATTTGTTTATTTTATTGTCTGAAAAGACCATTCAAGCCATCATCATCCTCACCAAACCTTTAAATGACTCTTCATCCTCTGTAGAACAACCTTCACCTCATCTTCCTCAAACCTTTTCTTGCTCCTATTCTTGCAGCAGCTGACAGGTTTGATTAATCTTCATGTGGATGTTTTGGTTATAATTAACCTGCAAATTAAACTCAGCATTTATATAATGAAAATTAAACAGGTGTAACTACATCAAATGTTTATTATATTTTGCTTGTTGGTTTGTTTAATATAGCTCYGAATGCATTATTCCCAAAAGTATTTTTCTTTCTAAGCAGATGGAGAGAATTAAACAGAAGTTTAAAGATAAATGGTATTTTTAAAGTAACGATTCTTTAATGGCTGAGAYTTTAGTGAGAGTTCAGAAATATTTAACAGAACTGTCAGCTTTTATCATTAAACACAAYAATTCAGTTACTCAAAGATATTGARTTTTATTGAGTATTTTTAGTTATAAAAGTGTTTGAATCTACAGGCGCTTTTGTTATTTATTTTTTGAAGCGTTTTTAAATCACAGAAATGATGAGGAGTGGATTTAGGAATCTGAAGGATCAAGTTGGTGAGATGTAAAAAGTTCTSATGTAGTTTGTTGTTAGTTAAATTTTCAGTTAACTGGAAGCTGAAAGGTTTTCCAGTCCTGAGCTCCAGTCTCAGTCTGAACCAGCTCCAGGTCTGGCTCCTCTGACCTCCTTCTCTTGTCATGTCCACAGAGGCGTTTGGTCTTCATTGAATGGAGTTCCTCAGAGGATGAGAATGATGAGTAAAGCAGCTAAAGGCGACTGTAGACGTGTTTTAATAGAGTTGGTGCCCAGTCTGTAGTCTGTGCTGAAGTTCTTCAGCTGTTTAACTGTTAGTGTATATTTGACTAAACCAAAGAAAGAAAACTACACGAATGTGTTTATATATTTTTATGTTTTTACATCATGAACTGTAGTTTTACTTTTACCTTATATTTCTGTTCATTACTTTTATTTCAATCTTTTCAGTTCTTATTTGTCGCAGAAGAAGCCTCATTATTTTCCTTTTATCTAGAAATGTTTTAAGTCTTGTTTTCTTCATCAGTCATTGTCCCATCAACTTTCTAGTTTTGACTGTTGCTCACAATAAACCTTTCAAAYGCCATCATCCGTTTCATCCCATTTGTTTCACCCGTCACATTTTKCATTTCACCTAAAGTTTTTGCATCGTTTTATTCAGCCATTAGGAAGATATTTTACCTGAATATGTTTTTAGTCACGTATCATTTTTGAGTGTACTCTCTCTCTCTCTTTGTAACTTCCTTCTTTCAGAAAATTGAGAATGGACGTTTTGCGAAGTACAGATACTTTGCTCACGCGAAAGTCAACGAGTCTGACTTCTTCATGATCACCAAGAGGTGAGTGATGTATTTTATCCTCCAGCACAAACAAGTGAAATAAAAATAACCTGAAGCAAATGTAAGAGCCAATTGAATATTTTTTAAGCATGAAGTTCATCAGAAAAGGAGAAGTTTCCACTTTGATGTCATTAAAATTTTAATTTGGCACCCATGTCAGATTTGTTCGTTAACATAAAGTGCATTTAATATTTTTATCTGTAAAAGGTAGTAAAATATTGCAAAAATCCTGGCTGAACCCGTAAAATGTATAAATGTGTTTATTTCTTAGGGCTATGGCTCGATTAGTTGTAACATAAGACTTTATTTGATAAACATATATTTTAA